TTATACAAAAATTAAACCAAAATAGATCATAAGTTTAAATATCAAATGTAAAACTATATATCTTTTAGAAGGAAACATAAGAAAAAGTCTTTAGGATCTAGGGCTTGGTGAAGAGTTCTTGGACGTGATACCAAAAGCACCATCTATAAAAGAAAAAAATGATAAATTGGACATCATTAAAACTTTTGTCCTGTGAAAGACCCAGTCAAGAGGATGAAAAAACAAGCTACAGACTGGGAAAAAATATGTGCAAACTACATATTTGATAAATGACTCATATCTAGAATTTATTAAGAAATCTCAAAAGTTCAACCATTAAAAAACCGAACAATCCAATTAGAACATGGGCAAAAGACTTGGAGAGACATTTCACTGAAGAAAATGAATGACAAACAAGCTCATGAAAAGATGTTCAACCTCACGAGCTATTAGGGGAATGCAAAATAAGACCATGATGAGATATGGCTACACATCTATTAAAACAGCTAAAATAAAAAATAATGAGGCCACTCTATGTTTTATTTGGCAATTGCTCATATGCAAATTTTACGGAGGGTTGTGGAAAAGGTATTTGTGTCAATTATGAGATGGATCTTTGCCTAGAAAAAGAAGAACCAAATAGAAGTGAGGCATAAATCAAAATATAAGCACTACAAGTCCATTTAAATCATTTGTTGTTAAATAAGGCTTTCTGATTAATGTTCTAACCTTTAAAAATTGTTTTCTGAACCATATTCACTGTTGTGAAATTTAAGTTTTATAATAAAAAACATAATTTTCAAAAAAAATAATGAAAACATCAAATACTGGCAAAGATGCAGAGAAACTGGATCTCTCACACATTGCTTGTGAGGATGTAAAATGGTACAGCTACTCTGGAAAATACTTTGGCAGTTTCTTTAAAATCAATCATATATTTTATCATACATTCCAGAAGTTGTACTTCTTGGCATTTATCACAAGGAAACAAATTCTTTTCTCCACACAAAATCTGCACATGATATTTTATAGCAGCTTTATTTGTAAAAGCTGATAACCAAAATATCCTACCATAAGTAATAGTTAAGCAAACTGTGTTAAAGCCATATTGTGAAATACTATTCATCTAGGAATGAACTATTGATGCACACAGAAACTAGGATGGATTCCAAGGGCACTATGCTGAGAGAAAAAGATATTATCTTAAAAGGTCTCATACTGTATGATTTCATTTGTATAACATTCTTGAAATGAAAAAATTACAGAAATGAAAAACAGATTAGTGGTGCCAAGAGTTGCTGATGGTGGGGAGAAGAAGGAGGTGGGTAAGACCATAAAGTATAATAGTAGCACCAGGGAAATATTTTGTGATGTTGGAATAGTTTTGTACCTTGCTTGCCACAGTGGTTACATGACTCTGTACATGTGTTAAAATGACATAGAACTCTACACACACTTTATAACAATGTCAATTTCCTGGTTTTGATGTTGTACTATATTTACCTAAGATGTAACCACCAGCGGAAACTGTGTGAAGAACTCTCTGTACTATTTTACAACTTCCTGAGAATTTATAATTATTTTAAAATGAAAGTTTAAAGGGGGAGGCAGAATATGCAAACCTTACAAAGCATTGTTTCAAACAAAATACATTCCCTAAAATTTTGTCAAGGTTTTAATGACACCAAATTTCTCAAATTAATAGCTTTTCTGTTTCCAACAGTTGACTAAAGCAAATTATTTATATACAGGAAGGTTACTATTTATTTATTGTTTCTTTTAATTAATAACAGGGTAAAAAATGCTATACATTTTATACTTGCCATGTTTTAAATAACTAATTTACAATTGCTAGTAGATATCAAAGAATCAAGGACACCAAAATCATGATTTAAGCAAAAAACCTAATTTAATACATTAGTTGAAAGTTCATTATTGACCTCAAGAGCAGGCACTTTTGCTATAGCTGCCAACAAGGAAACAAAATGTGACGAATTTTCTACTCTCCTCTATTTAAAAAAGGAATTACTGAACATAAATATGTCCTGATTTGACATCTTAACAGCTTCCATAACACGTACTTTGGAAACTCCATGCCTGAATAATTGGGCCATTGATTATTTCTGGAACATAAATTAAGCCCTTCAATTTAATCTTATTTGGACCTGAAAATTATAATAAAAAGGAGATTTCCAGATTACTTTTAGTTTTCTTACTTCAAATTATCTCCTTCGATAAATCTTTTTTTCCTTAAAAGATTTATAATATTAAACTACTAGATTCTGCCATTGTTTAATTACTAATAGCAGCAC